GGAATCAGGAAAGGTGCAGTTGTGTTGCCAGTGGAGGGAGCTGCTGGTTCTTCTAAGTCCCCCCTCCCCCTCCCCCTCCCCCTGGGCAGAGGCTCAGGGAGGCCCACGGGTGCCCTCTGGCGCTGAAGAGGTAATGTAGTCACAGTGACAAAGTTAGATCACAAGGCACTAAGTTGCTTCTGTAAACTGTTACTGCTTTTTCTTTTGTGATTTGGCACTTAAGGCTTAAGCTGGAAAAAAAAACGCATCTACTGACAAATATGGGACTTGTCTGTTATGTATGGTAAGTGGGCTATAAAATTGAGGTGGGGGGGTTCTAGCCAGAAGAAGCTCTAAGTTGCTTCTGTAAACTGTTACTGCTTTTTCTTTTGTGATTTGGCACTTAAGGCTTAAGCTGGAAAAAAAAACGCATCTACTGACAAATATGGGACTTGTCTGTTATGTATGGTAAGTGGGCTATAAAATTGAGGTGGGGGGGTTCTAGCCAGAAGAAGCTATTGACAAATTGACTTGTCCTTATGTTGGGGGGAAGGGGCGTTTAAAGAAGGGGGAGGGAGGGGGCATTCCAAGGTCCTGGGGGAAAGGGGTTGAGCTTAACCTTGTTAATGTAGGGGTTTGTCAGGAATCGGATGGGTAGGGAGGGAAGGGTAGGGGATGTGGGTGTGGGGTGGGGGCCTGGGGGGCGGGTGGATAGGCGGGGTGGGGGGGGGCGGCCCTCCCTACCCTGGTTTAGTCATCTGAGATGGAAAGTCTGCTGAAAATGGGCAGGCGTCTTGAGTTGTCCAAAGTAGGGGAGTCTGAGCCACTGTGGCTGCTGCTGGAGCTGCTCAGGTAGCCCTCCTGGTCCGAGAGAGAATCCTGAGGGCTGGGGGGAGAGTCAAACATGTGAGGGGACTCAGACATGGGCCGAAAGAGGAAGGTGGTTGGGGAGCCACCCCCGGGCAGCCCCATGCTAGGGGCAAAGAGGCTCGCCAGCTCCTGACTGGAGAAGGCGAAGGGGTTATTGGTGCCATCGGGCAGGGTGGGCGAGCCCAGGAGGTCATCGGCGCTCAGGATGGGGGGTGGGGTGATGGACGTGGGGCTGTCCAGCAGCCCCGTGGCAGCGGCGGTGGCAGCGGCACTGGGAAACCCAGCAAAGCTAAAGCTATGCTGGAGGCGGGGACGGTCAGCAGAGAGGTCCCGGGCCCCGGCCAGGGCACGGCGCTCCTCAGCGTTGTGGATGAAGTGGCAGCGGGGCCCATACGGGCAGAAGCCGATGGTGTGGAAGGTACGGCACAGCTCCGTCTTGTACTTGGGGTGGCGGGTCAGGCTTCGGAGCTCGTGGATGCCGTGCGCGAACTGGCACTTGTCGCCGTACTTACAGGCTCCGTTCTCCTCGAAGGGACGGCACAGCTCCGTCTTGTAGCGGCTGG